ATACATATATATATAAACTACACAGTAGAGAAATAGAACAACACATTAACCAAATGACCAAAACTAACAACACTAATGAGAGGCAAATGGATATCATGTGCCATCAGATGTGATATCCTAAGGACACAAAATCATATATGTAGGGGTTTTTTTTCCCTGTCCTACTTAAGTAGTTTTCCATCTTGGAATGTATCTAATCATAAGGAGATATGGGACAAATCCAAAATGACGAACAATCTATTAAAAGGGAGGAGAGGGTGGTTGTGGATTTTATTCTTCAAAAATGTCAATGTCATAGAATACAAAGGGTGTAGAAATGTTTCTGATTAAAGGGGAATAAGCAGACATGATAAGTGAAAGCAGCATCTCATCCTATATTAAAAATTTTACTCAAAGAAAAAAAAGCTATGCTGGAGATTTAGCTCAGTGGTTCCGGCGCCTGCCTTGAAAGCGCAAGGTCCCGAGTTTGTATCAAAAAAAAAAAAAAAAGGTATAACTACACCTATAAGCCCAGCACTCTATGAGGCTGAGGCAGGAGAATTTCAAGTTCCAACCTAGCCTGGCAATTTAAATTTAGCAAGACCCTATCATAGAATAAAAAATTTAAAAGGAGAAAAGAAACAGGAGGGAAATGATTAAAGTATGTGATGTGTGTATACAAATCTGACAAAATGACATATGCTTATAATCCCACCACTTGGGAGGCTAAGGCAGGAGGATTACTGTGGCTTTGAGGCCAGGCTGAACTACATAGCAAAACCCTGCCTTAAAAAAAACAAAAAACAGACTGGGGTTGTACCTCCGTGGTGCCCTGCCTGCCTGGCAAACCCAAGGTCCTGAGTTCAATCCCTGGTACCAAAAAACAAAACAAAACAAGGGCTGGGGATTCAGTTCAGTGGTTTCGCTACATGCCTTCCAAGCGCAAGGTCCCGAGTTCCATCCCTGGTACCAAAACAAACAAACAAAAAACCCCAAAATAAAACAATCTGCCAAAATGAAACACATTAATCTATATAACCATTATGCATTAAAAAATGCAAGAGTGTGGGGGAGGGCTGGGTATGTCAGTCAGTACAAAGTCCCCAGGTTCAATCTCTGGTTCCAAAGAAAAGAAGAGAAAATTATTAGATCAAACTAACAAAACTGATATAGAGGTGATAGATTAACTTGCTTAAAATTGGTAATTGTACCCTAGTTTAAGTTGTTTTTTTTTTTTTTTTTGTACCAGGGATCAAACTTGGGTCCTTGTGCTTGCACAGCAGGCAGCGAAACCACTGAGCTAAATCCCCGGAGAACCTTAGTTTAATGTAACATTGAAACATTTGGAATTTATCTTTGAAGTATATAATGCAGGCTAGTTTGGAATGGTTGAGGAAAATATTACTTAAGAAAAAAGATTTGTATATTTAAGAGAGAGTGGTCAAATGACAATTCAAATAGGGTAAAATTCAGTAACACATTTGAGCATAAATTGTATTTTTGTTATTTCTGCAATTTTTCTGAAAGATTGAAGTAATTTCCAAATTTTAAAAAATTTATTTAAAAAAGTATAGCTAAACAGTTTTGCATAAAGCCCTCTGTTTGAAGTCAGAATTTGAGGGAGAAAGGCAGAAGAAAAATGTGAAACTTGGAAAAGTCTATTCAATAAACATTTTTGGGATTGAATGAAATCACGTAAATTTAAAATAAAGAGAAATTAAATTCTAAAATTAAATTTAAGACTTATCAAACAACATTTGAAAAATCAAAATACTTTACCTTAATTTAGCTGAACGTAGTATTCTGGTGAGTGACACACAGTTTCCTTCCATGATACCCCTTCCAACTGTAGGAATAATGCTTTTGCGGCATGCAACATATAATGAACATGCCAACCAGTGTATAACTTCTCCCTGGCAGGGGAAGAGACAAACAGTAAAATGGATATATTATGTTAAAATGCTTAAATTCCAGAACCAGAAAATATCTGAAAATTATCTAATTTTCCTTCTACATATAAAGGGCCATACAAACAAAGATATTCACACCCACGGTCACAAAGCTAAGTTAGTTGCAAAAATGGGTAAAACTTCATACTCTGGGGCCAGAGATTTAGCTCAGTGGTTCCACTGCCTGCCTTGCAAGCAAAAGGTCCGAGTTCAATCCTGGGTACCACAAAAAAAACAAAAAACAAAAAACTTCATACTCTGTCCTGTGTTCTTGCAACATGATAAATCAGTACTAATCTAAAAATTGAGCTCTTCTCTTCATTCCAAAACTCGTATTACTAAAAGCATTGTTTTTAAAATTTCCCAGCATCTGCTTTCTTAATTTTATTTTATTCTATTTTTATTTTTTTGGTACCGGGGAAGGAACTTGGGACCTTGAGCTTGCGAGGCAGGTGGCAGAACCACTGAGCTAAATCCCTGGCCCACTGAATTGTTTTTTTTTGCTTTCTTAATTTTAAAACATCAGTCATGGCTTGACGATGATGAAATTCCTTTTTATCATTTTGAGTTTTTGTAAACCAGTTTGGTAAAGAAAAGAAAAAACAGTAGAAAGCTGGCAAGGGTGTCACACATAAGAATTAATACCAAGTAGTATACTATAAAGGAGATTATCATTTTTGTGAGGTAAAAATTTGGGGCAATAACTTAAAACATGTCATCCTTAAAATAGTACGTATGGCCCTCTATCTTTTTGTTTGTTTGTTTTTGGTACCAGGGATCAAACTCGGGACCTTATGCTTGCACGGCAGGCGCCGGAACCACTGAGCTACATCCCGGGCCCCTGGCCTTCTATTTTAAAAGGTATCTCAGTTGGCTGGGGATTTAGCTCAGTGGTTCCGCCACCTGCCTCGCAAGCACAAGGACCGGAGTTCAATTCCCGGTACCAAAAAGGTATCTCAGTTTACAAAGCTACCCAAAAAAAGGTCACATATAAGAATTCAACATTTAATTTTCTTCTTTAGACTTGAAATATCTCTAAATTAGGATCACTTATGACTTTATTGCTGAAATATAAGTGAAGTTCAAGGATTAAGAATTATAGATACAAATCTCACAAGATAAAACCAGACATGATGTCACATGCCTATAATCCCAGCACTCTGGAGGCTGAGGCAGAAGCATCACTGAGTTCAAGGCCAGTCTGGGCTACATTGTGAGATCAAGTCATTGTGCCTGACTATAGTGAGACTCTGTCTCAAAAAACAAAACAAACACACACATCCAAATCTCATAGTATAATACATACTATTACGCAGGTTGAAAAGACTGATTAAAAAAAATTTCCTTCAATAATCTTAAAAGGGATCAGTGGAAATGGGTGACTATCAAAAGCTAAAGCTTCTTAAGTTTTTTTTCCTCTCTACATTCCTAAAACAATTTTTAGGTTTTTTTTAATACTAGATGATGCAGGCAGTGTTTTCACAAAAGTAACTGTACAGTGATTTGAAATACAATAAATGAAGGCAAGGCATGGGCTTCCAATAAAAGATATTTGAAGACTGGAAAGAAAAAAAAAAAAGCTAAAGCTCAGTGTTCCTATCCTAAAAGACAGGCAGGTCTTATTTGCTCAAAGCACTAAATACAGCAGGTAAAACTATGGCTGAATGTTTATAGGAGCCTTGATCAATAAAACTGTTTGGGAATATATCCACCAAGTATTAGAGTATTTGGATATAGTCTCCTATATGAAAATACTGGTAGAGAAAATATAAGCACTTTTCTCCTAAGAGTCAACTGTATTATTTATTCTAGTTCCTAGTCTGGATGCTAGACCTTGGAAATACAAAAATAGTTTCTGATCTCACGGAACTCCAAGTCTAGAGCTAAAGAAGAGCAACAGAGGCCATTCCACCATTTCCAGCGCAGAGGAAGGGGCTTCTGGGCCACTCTACCACCACTCCCAGCGCAGAGGAAGGGGCTTCCAGGCCACCCTATCACCGCTCCAAGCACAGAGGAAGGGGCTTCCAGGCCACCCTACCACCACTCCCAGCACAGAGAGGTAAGCCATGTGGGTGCCAAATTTCATGAACACCAAACCAGCACTACAAGCAATTCTAAACAATATCCTAGAAAAAAAACAATGAAGGTCACAACTCCATGAGGCCCAACAGAGGGAAGCCACCAGGTAAGGTAAGACACTAAAGGAAAAGGGAGAAAAAATAAGAAATAAAAGAGCCAAAAAAGTAAAACATCATGACAAGGATAAATCAAAATCTATCAATTGTAACCATCAATGTTAATGGCCTCATCACCAATCAAAAGAAATACACTGGCAGAATGGATTAAGAAGCAAAATCCAACAATATGCTGTACACAAGAAATACACCTACCTCAAAAAGAAACTCATAGACTGAAAGTAAAAGGATGGAAAACAGTTCTCCATGCCACAGGAACCCAGAAGAAAGCAGAGGTAGCAATCTTATTTGCAGACAAAGTAGATTTCAAACCAAAACTAATTAAGAGAGAGAAAGAAGGACTAATGGAGACTAAGAGAACCTGACCCCGTCGAAATGAGCAATCACATAAACAACTCTCAAAACCAGACTTCCAGATCACCTACAGCAACCCCAAAGGGAAACAGGATGGAATACTCTGATATGAAACCACCTGGACTCCCTGAACTGGCAACAAAAGAGGATCTGAAAAAAATGAAATCAGAAATAATTTCTCAGATAACAGCAGAGATTGTGCTCATAGTGCAAGACATGATTATTAAAACAAGAGAGGAGCTGAGGAACATGAAGGAATCCCAACATAGGAATCAAATGGAATCCATAAAACAGATACAAACAGATTTCCAGGAGATTAAAAACTCCACTGAAAGCTTACGCAGCAGAATGAGCCAATATAAGGACAGAATTTCAGATATAGAAGATAAGATTGCAATTAGTGACCAGGAAAAGAAAAATTGCTTCAAAATTGTAAGGGAACACAAGAAATCAATCCAGCAGCTACTAGACAACTCAAAGAAGAATAACATAAGACTGATTGGAGTCAATGAAGGAAAGAGGAGAGAGTGCAGATGACATAAAAAAAAGTTCACAGAAGTAATGGCAGAAAAATTCCCAAGCAGGGGAAAAGAACTTCACATACAGATAAGTGAGGCATACAGGACTCCAACTAACCTTGATCAAAAAAAATGTACACATAGGCATATAACTGTTAAGATTCCAGAAACCCAACAGAGAACAAAATTCTACAAGCAGTTAAAGAAACAAATCACATACAAAGTAAACCCCATCAGAATCACAGCAGACTTCTCAACACAAACCCTCAAGGCAAGAAGAGCTTGGAGTGACGTATTCCAAGCCCAAAAGGAAAACAGCCTCCAACCCAGATTGATGTACCCTGCAAAACTATCTTTCAAAATTGATGGAGAAATAAGATACTCTCATGACAAAGAGCACCTTAGGAACTTCACGAATACCAAACCAGCACTCCAAAAAATTTAGACAATATCCTAGGAAAAGACAATGAGGATCACAACCCTAGGAAGCACAGCAGAATGAATCCATCAGGTGTGACAAGAAATTAAAGGTAAAGGGGGAGAATCCAAAAAAAACTCATGACAATGATAAGTCAATACATATCAGTTATAACCATCAATGTTAATGGTCTCAATTTGCCAATCAAAAGAAATAGACTGGCAGAATGGGTCAAGAAGCAAAATCCAACAATATGCTGCATACAAGAAACATACTT